CAGTATAGTGTACTTAGTCCAGGACTTGTCTCTGTTGGGACCCCCCAGTACAGTGTACTTAGTCCAGGACTTGCCCCTGTTAGGACCCCCAGTACAGTGTACTTAGTCCAGGACTTGTCTCTGTTGGGACCCCCCAGTACAGTGTACTTAGTCCAGGACTTGTCTCTGTTGGGACCCCCAGTACAGTGTACTTAGTCCAGGACTTGTCTCTGTTGGGACCCCCCAGTATAGTGTACTTAGTCCAGGACTTGTCTCTGTTGGGACCCCCCAGTATAGTGTACTTAGTCCAGGACTTGTCTCTGTTGGGACCCCCCAGTACAGTGTACTTAGTCCAGGACTTGCCCCTGTTAGGACCCCCAGTACAGTGTACTTAATCCAGGACTTGTCTCTGTTGGGACCCCCCCAGTACAGTGTACTTAGTCCAGGACTTGTCTCTGTTGGGACCCCCCCAGTACAGTGTACTTAGTCCAGGACTTGTCTCTGTTGGGACCCCCCAGTATAGTGTACTTAGTCCAGGACTTGTCTCTGTTGGGACCCCCCAGTACAGTGTACTTAATCCAGGACTTGCCCCTGTTAGGACCCCCAGTACAGTGTACTTAGTCCAGGACTTGTCTCTGTTGGGACCCCCCCAGTACAGTGTACTTAGTCCAGGACTTGTCTCTGTTGGGACCCCCAGTACAGTGTACTTAGTCCAGGACTTGTCTCTGTTGGGACCCCCCCCAGTACAGTGTACTTAGTCCAGGAGTTGTTTCTGTTGGGACCCCCCACTACAGTGTATTTAGTCCAGGAGTTGTCTCTGTTGGGACCCCCCAGTACAGCGTACTAAGTCCAGGACTTGTCTCTGTTGGGACCTTCCAGTACAGTGTACTAAGTCCAGGACTTGTCTCTGTTGGGACCCCCCAGTACAGTGTACTTAGTCCAGGACTAGTCTCTGTTGGGACCCCGCAGTACAGTGTACTAAGTCCAGGACTTGTCTCTGTTAGGACCCCCCAGTACAGTGTACTTAGCCCAGGACTTGTCCCTGTTGGGGCCCCCCAGTACAGTGTACTTAGTCCAGGACTTGTCCCTACTGGGGCCCCCAGCAGTGTGAGAAGTGGTGCCCTGCCTCCTCGGAATGACAGACCAGAGGGCACCCTGCTCCCCTCCCCCAAGTCTCACCTCCTGGATGTCATTGTACGGCTCTCCCTGCCTCTTCCCCAATGGTGATCAGCAGTCTCCGCTCAGTACTGCTCCAAGGCCGGCTCCCGCTGGGCTCTCCTGTACGATCCGGGTGTAATCCTGATGAAGGCCTCCAGCAGTATCAGCACCAGCAGCACCACCCGAGCGGCCACGGATGACGTCATCAGACGGCGCCACGGCGGTCCCAGCTTCCCTATCCTCTTATACTGAACACAAGTTTGTAACAGGAATGGGAAAGGCCAGTCCTTCCCGGGACTTAGTCACTATTATACCATATCTAATTACACCGAACAGCGAATGTATGCAGTGCAGTCTACAGGACAGCCCCAAACTCCTACATCAATATTTGTGACACTCCCTGCCAGACCTACGGGCCTGCACTGATCCGAGATAATTATTCCACTTATCGAAGAATTTCGGGCCCCGTACAGACACCGTCGCTCAGCTATGACGTCAAAGACGGGCGGCCGACGCCAGGCCTGAAGCCAAGTTCTCCGAACTGCATGTCCCAGAAGGCCGTACGGCGGAAGTGACGTTTCGCCAGCGGTTCATATACTTGCTTTGGCCGGATGTTAATTCTTTTCCCTTTCAGCCAAGGTAGGAATGGCGGATGTTGTGTGTGAGGCGGCGGGCCTGTGGCCTGTAATCCGAAGTAATCCTGTGCTTGGCGGGCTCCGGGGCACCTACTGTTTGCCGGGTGTTTGGCCTGAGGTGGTGTGCTCTCTGCCGGAGCCGATATGGGGGAGAGTTCTCACCGGGCCGGGGGATGTGTCATGTCTGGGGCCTCGTCCATTGCACATTGTAGGAAGAGGGCGCTCCGTGCTGCACTCTGGGCTCCTGTGTGTGTCCTGTGCCGGCGAGGCTACATGTCTACAGCAGTACCCAGAGCTGGGCTCCAAGTCTTCTGTAAGGGGCCCCATTCCTGACTTGGTGTCATGAGTACTAGAGGGTGCTGGTGTTCCCTTCCCCCCCTGTACTCTATGGGGGCTGATTAGTCATCTCCAGCATTGATTGTACGGGGGTCACCCTGCACACGGGGGTCACCATGCACACAGCTCCTCACTTGTTTCTCTGTGAGAGACTTGGCTTTCACTTCATTTTACAGGATCTATGCTCACATGCTTCTCATGCAGGCAATGTTGCTCGTGTGTAGTGGAAGCTTTGCGTGCAGGTAGTGTTTCCCACATGTAGTGGAAGTTTCCCGTGCAGGCCGTGTTGCTCACGTATAGTGGAGGTTTTCAGTGCAGGCAGCGTTGCTTGCGTGTAGTTGGAAGTTTAGCGCGCAGGCAGCGTTGCTTGCATGTAGTGGAAGTTTAGCGCGCAGGCAGCGTTGCTTGCGTGTAGTGGAAGTTTAGCGCGCAGGCAGCGTTACTTGCGTGTAGTGGAGGTTTTGCGCGCAGGCAGCGTTGCCCGCGTGTAGTGGAAGTTTAGCGCACAGGCAGCGTTACTTGCGTGTAGTGGAGGTTTTGCGCGCAGGCAGCGTTGCCCGCGTGTAGTGGAGGTTTCCCCTGCAGGTGGTATTTTAGCACGTTTTGAAAAGTTAAACTTTCTGCCTTAGTGCCTCACTCTACACTGCGGTAATTATTTATTACAAGTACTTGTATAATGGCATCAATTTACACAGCGCTTTACATATATATTGTACATTCACATCAGTCCCTAACCCTCAAGGGGTGTACAATCTAAGGTCCCTATCTCACATTCATACATACACGTATTAGGGCCAATTTAGACAGGAGCCAATTAACCTACCAGCATGCCTTTGGAGTGTGGGAGGAAACCGGAGTACCCGGAGGAAACCCACACAGTCACAGGGAGAACATGCAAACTCTAGGCAGGTGGTGCCGTGGCTGGGATTTGAACCAATGACCTTAGTACTGCCAGGCGGAAGTGCGAACCATTTAGCCACTGTGCTGCCCCGGTAATGGGATTCCTAGGCTTTTCTGAACACAGTAAGTAGATTTCTGACAAATGACATTTAGACCCAAGTCTCTGTTTTTACCCATAGCAACCAGTTGTCTCTTATCATTTTTTTTTTTCTTGACCTCAGCTTAAAATATTAAAATCCCCCCCCCCCCCCCATGCAGCTTTTTCTTTAGATGAGGTCTGTAGGAGCTGATGGTGGATAGAAGTTGCATGAGAATGTACAACCGACTTCTTTAGTGACTCTTCCTAAGTCTAGCTTCTCACTGCTGAGTTTTGCGGAGAAGCACAGCAGTCCATTTAATATGATTTCCTATGGGACAGGTTCACATCTCTTCCCCCGGTGTGTTTTGTAAAGGGTCAGGGACTTTTTTTAAAACGCAAAATGTGGCGCTCTTGGTTCTGTAGACTTCAATGGAGGCGCTGCAGAAAAGCATGTAGTGCGTTTTTGATGCATTTTATTCTGTCCAGCAACTAGTTGAAGAAAAAAATGTGAAATGCGTAAAAAAAACACACTGCAAAAAGCACTGCAGAAACAAAAACTGCATAGGTGTGAACTTAGCCTGAGAGATCCTTGTCATGTCCCTTTTGTGGGGGAAAAAAAATCCACAGGTCTTTGCCTTGACTTGATACTACTCCTCCTTTGTCCATAACTATATTACGCAAACTATAGTAATCTTTTCCGTCAGTATTTCATTATTATACTGACCTAAATGTTTATTTACTTTAGTGACCCACATTGCTGGTCTTACTTACAAAGGTTGTTGTTGGGTTATGGTGTGTGTATGGTGCTTGTTCAACCCACTTGCCCTCCAGAGGATTTACCCCCCTTCCTGACCAGGCCATATTTTGCGTTACAGTGCTGCGTTACTTTAACTGACAATTGTGCAGTCATGCAACGCCGCACCCAAATGAAATTTACATCCTTTTTTTTTTTTTTTTACCCACGAATTGAGCTTTCTCTCTCAGTGATATTTGATCACCTGTGCATTTTTTATTGCTCTATAAAAAAAAAGACCATCAGTTTTGAGAATAAAACACACTATTTTTGACTTTTTGCTATTAAACGTGTCCAGTTTTAAAAAAATGTAAATCAAATTTCATCATAAATTTAGGCCAAAATGTATTCTGCGACATGTCTGCTTAAAAAAAAAAAAAATCCTAATACATGTAAATTAATTGGTTAACGTGAAAATTATAGCATTTACAAATGGCGGTATAGATACTGGAATTTTATTTTTACTAGCAATGGCAGCTATCTGCGACTTATAGCGGGACTGCAGCAGGCATTCTGACACTGGGGGGAACTGACTTGGTGTCACTGACATCCCCAGTGACACCAATACAGTGATCAGTGCTAAAAAAAAAAAACACTGTACTAATGGCACTGGGCTGGAAGTGGTTAACATGAGGGACGCTCAAAGGGTTAACTGTGTGCTGTTTTACTTGTGTCTGTGCTTTACACTGTAATCACACTGCTTTTCATGGCTGTGCACAGCCATCCAAAGCGGTGTGCGAGTTGACAGGGAGGAGAACAGTATTGTTTACATACAGTTCTCCTCCCCGTCACAGATGCTCGGTAATCACCTACTGGAACCCAATGATTGACAGCTGCAGCCGTGAGTGGTGGTATGGATAGGGTGCGCGTCCCCTACCCAAAGATGCAAAATTGTGTGTGTGTGTGAGTGATTTTGTGCACCTATGCCACCCTGTAGCAGTATAGCTATATATGGCGGTCAAGAAGCTGTTAAAATATGTTAAGGTTTCAGTTGCAATTCCTTATTCTAATTATTCTGAATGATCATTTTTGGCATACATTTTTGATACATTTCTTCACTTATGAGGAAATTGCATCTGATTTTGATCTATGTATATCTCAATCTTCTATTCTTGTCTATAGATGGCAGGAGAGCAGGCTGAGAAGAAGGTCAGGAGGCATCACGCCAGCCGCAATCCAGTGCTGGCCCGTGAATTGGGAAATATTCCCGATCTGCTATGTTTGCAAGGAAAGCCTTGTACAAGCGCAAGTATAAGGCTCCAGCGACCAAGGTAACAACTTCATCACTTTGATATTAACACATAGCTTGCTATAAGAGTCCTGTATGCTTACATTATTGTTTTCCACAGATTGAAAAGAAAAAAGAGAAGCCTCCAGCTACCGTAACAAAGACAGTTGGTGGTGATAAGAATGGTGCAACCGTGTGGTCAAGTTGCGCAAAATGGTAAGCGCTATCCTTTTTTTTGGGGGGGGGGGGTGTTATGTGAAACAAAATTGAGGATGTTGAGGGCCCTGAGGAGCTTTTGCCATGATGTACAAGTGCTGAGCATATTTGTACATTACAGCACTCTTGCCTAGTAAATGCCCTTCTCCAACAATTCAATGTCTAAAGTCCCCTTCGTCACTGGAGCTTTCAATTTCTGGGTTTGGAGTCTTCTACCATCTTAATTTGCTGGGTTGACCTAACCCTCGTGTTATGTTCTGGGCATGTACGGCTGTGTGCACTCAAAATTAGAAAAAAAAACCTCTTAACAGACGAAAAGAACATTGACATGCAGGGTCTCTTCTGTCATAAAAGCCCATCTGTCAGCGTTGAGTTTAGATCCGCTTTAAACATGAGCCAAAGCTTGGTAATCACAGCCATGTGATGCGGAATGTGAATGTTTTGTAAGCATTTCCAGTTAGTGGCTAGTACATGTGGCACGCGGGGCAATTTACAACTGAGTCTTAATATCAGCTCTCTGAATACTTGTTGGGTTATACACATCTCAGCCTTTATTTTACAGCCCATTCATGAAATGGGGGGGCCACAGCATGGAACCTACAGTGTTCTCTCTGCTTAAAGTATAACTAAAGGCAAAAACCTTCAGTTTTGGGTAGAGTGGAGAGGGATTAGAATGCTAGTCAGTTTTACATTGCTGTCTGTGTCCTTTTAGGGGACACCCTCTATTTGTAACACTGTCTATTTTGTCTGTTACTATTGTTGAAAGTGAGAAAAAATCCCAAATTTTGGGTTGTCCCCAGAAAAGTAAAAGGGGAAACCTTCTCATAGGGACACTAGTTCTGGTCTCCTGGGAATCCCCTTAATTTGCAGGAATTTCCTGTATGGCCTGTGGGACAGGACCTGAAAGGAAATTTCTGCAGAGAGGCACATGGCAGAAAACAAAATCTGACAGGAGCTATAACCCTCCCTTGCTCTATTCAAAATGAGAAAAACAAGTTTTTTGCCTATAGTTCTACATGAACACAACAGATGGGGCTCAATGGCTGTATGGCTTTTCTGCTGCTTTATTAATCAAATACTGTGTTTTCCCTTATTATTACCAACTACTATATTTTCAAGTAGGAACTGAGGTATTTGCATTTGAAGTTCACGTTCTTATGCGAGTTCTCTTTTTTTGTTTTGTCATCTAGCCACGTTATTATCCCACTGAAGATGTTCCACGCAAACTGTTAAGCCATGGAAAGAAACCATTCAGCCAGCACAAGCGCAATCTGCGTTCCAGCATAACTCCTGGGACTGTGCTAATTCTCCTTAATGGCCGTCACAGGGGCAAGGTAATTTTTTTTGTTTTCTTTAATGTGGAAACAAGCATTTTTCTCTTGACAGTGATATTCTGAGTAGTCTTCAAGTTGGGTTTTTGGTAGGCTAAGTATCTTTAGTAACTAGTATCTGTTGTTCACCACATGCTCACAGTAGTAAGGATATTCGTGGGATGTTCAGATCACAGGCATCTTCCACATTTTAGGTCAAAGCACAGCACAAATGTATTTACTAAAACCGGTACGCTCAGAATCTGGTGCAGCTCTGCATGGTAGCTAATCGGCTTATAATTTCAGCTTGTTAAGTTTTGGCAATAAAACCTTGAAGCTGATTGGTGTTTATGTAGAGTTGCACCAGATTTTGCACTCTCCCATTTTAGTATATAACTCCATCTGTATGTTTCTCTTCTGCGCAATAGCTCATTCTTTCACCTAGCACTTTATGCTGGCCATAAGTAATTAAAATTAAAAGCTGCTGAAAGATTCCTCTGCAAGATTTTCAGGTATGCAGATTGCTAGGCCATGTATGTTTCTTGTCATTGAAAAGGAAACCTGACTAGGCAACACGTGCTTATCTAGGGTGGAAAAGAACAATTGCATTTAGCTAACATTTTCCATCAAGGCATCTTATTTGCTTCCTGAATGGTGATCTAAGGGTGTCTGTGATCTTCTGGTGTGCACAGATAAATCCTTATTGTTTAATCTGTAATCGGTGTTGATATGTAGCTCATACTTATATCATTCTTTTTGAGTCAAGTAGAGCTCTGTGAATACACCTTAGAATATAAATAGACCTTTTTCACACTGTTCAGTGCACTGTACTTGCACTTGGGGAAACCACAGAAGATCAGTGTACCCACGCTTTTTGTGCAGATTACCCACAATTTGCCATAGATGCACCAGAAATCCTGCGTGCAAATCTCTTCCCCATTTATAATATATATAGTACATATATTTGTACTATTATTTGAGGTGGAATTTTCTCTGGGGAATATTTTTCTTGTATCCTGCCACACAGACATAGAAGAAAGTAAAAGGAAATATTCCCTCATGCTCCCCCCCTCCATTGTGAAAGGAAATAGCATTTGCAGAATCATGGCATTACAGAATCAGACGTTAGCCATGGTAGGCTCTGTTGTCTTTTTTTTTTTTATATCAGATTTTATTTCTGTTGCCACACAGGGTGGCAATAGAAACCAAGAGGTAGAGTCCTGAGAGGTATATAAGTATTGTCATGTAAGAAAACCACTTTAAAATAACTGATCGTAGTAAAGGAGCTACAGGAGCGATTAGGAAAAAGGATACACAAATTTATTTTCCAGCGACGGTGTCAAACGTCTGCATGGCATTTTGTAAATAATATACTTTTATACATGATCTGCATCTGTTAAGTTCAGGGATCAATTCAGAAAGAGTAGGTAGGCTAGGCTGGGTGAGAACGATTTTAGGACAATTATCCTGTTTTCAAGGGAAAGGTTTCCTGTAACATTTGGTTATACAATTCTGCATAAGCTCTGTAGTATTCAATCATCAGCATGTATTGGGGTAATTTTACAAGGGCCAGTATGTGAAGCATGTTGTTGGTAATGTTTCATGCTGCAGCCAGTCCTTTTGCCAACTAAGAAATGCCACTTTTTATACATCAGCCTCCAGAAATATTTAATTGAAAATTAGCATTGACTTGGTTCTCTCTTTAATACTGTTCAGGCTTTGTTGTAATAACCTGGTAATCAAAACATAAAGACCAAATTGTGCCACGCTCCACTGTTGCCAATAAATTATAAATACATGAATATCTACAAATTTCATATAGTGCAATTTTACATAAATCCACTGTGACTATCAAATAATGTCCATATACAATTCTTATGTTATTAAAATACAGAAAATCTGTGCTTCTTAATTCATCTCCAGTGTCAAAGTTAATTTCTAAACTCGTGCACCCCCACTGGTTGTGCTCTCACCTCAAATATAGGTGAGAGCACATCAGGGGGAGGAAGCCATGTGACCCGGTGGCATAACACGTACGGGAGGGGCTTTGACATCATGATGCTTGATGGTTCTATACAGACACCAGCTGGCTCTACACAGCATATCATCACTGCTAACATTCAGGAGGCAATTTCTTGCACAAAGCACTTTTTGTACAGTTATGTGAGTGTACTACTTTATATTAATGAATGAGTGTTAAAGGATAAAGCACTATGATCTGGTTATTCTGTTAACATACTCACCGTTGGAGGAGAGCCATTAGATGAGCTAAAGGGATCCCATTCAGCAGGATAACATCCCATCCATATTTGGCCCAATTAAAGGGACACAGGCTGTATATGACCTCACTTAACAGTTTGGTCATATATTTGAGGTGAGAGCACAACCGGTGGGGGTGCACGAGTTTTGAAGTGAATTTTGATACTGGAGTTGTATTAAGCACATATTTTCTGTATTTTAAAGTTAACACGAGAATTGTGAAGAATTGTATATGGACATTTTTTATATTTACAGTGGATTTATATAAAACTGCACTATATTAAATTTGCACATATTCATGTATTTATAATTTTTTTGGCAACAGTGGAGCGCGGCACAATTTGGTATGTATGTATTTGGGCACATTTGTATGAGTGTGTTAGGTGCAGGCGATCTACTAATTTATATTTTGGTTTTAGCACTAAGCATATGTTATAGCAGCTCACGTGTCTTTGATATAATTCTGGTAATCAAAACATATTGTAAAGAATTGCACTGTGTGGGAGATGAGTTTGTCAGCTGGTGCTATTGTAACCTCATCAATTTATGGCACTGCAGCATGTCATGGAAATATTTACCATTTCTCTAAATGCTGTAATACCATCATGCCAACCCATCAAATTATAATAGAAGCATAGGCTACAATTGTAGTTTACATGGGTTTGTTTTTTTAACTGCCTGTGCAGATGGAAAAGGGGCATGATGGGAGCAGTCTGTATCCTTTTTTTTGTTTTTAGCATAGCATGGGTTGTACTCTCTATTCCCTATACACCCCTCCATGTCCTTGTAGCATGAAGATGTGTACCACACAGGGCTCCCTTTACACCGGGGTACCGTCTTACCACCTCTGAATTTCTGACCTGCTTTACAATGCAATATGCAGAAGCTTAGCAATGAAAATCTCTCTGGTAGTGCCCAACTCTCCGACCGGTTGCGATTCTCCCAAGCAGTCCAGCACCTCCAGGAAGCAGCTCTCCATGTTGTCTTGGGCCAGTTTGACACACACTAGGTGCTTCTAGCCGTACCTGGCTGGAGGATGAGCCACTCACACATCGCTGTCTGCACTATCCCATTCAGCCAGAGAACCGCCCACTAAGAAACCCAACCCCAGCTCTGGATCTACCGCCCTTCGCATCCTATTGGATATGACCTGACACACCCACAAATCTTTGCTACATCGATGTCCACTCCATTAAGGGGAAAAAGGGGGGGAGCATGGCTCTTCTTTGGGGGACTTATTTGTTATTTTTGTAATACAGCAAAAAGTGATGGTTGTAAGGGTGATTTTAATGGCAATGAATAACCTCCTGGGTTCTTGTACCCATTTTTGACTCCACTGGCGAGGTCACCTATCACTTTTCTGGTTTTGCTTTTGCTCTCTGAAGTTAAGGTTATTCCTAATTCTTTAGTTGTATTGTCCATATTATAGCTGCAAAATCCAACAGGGAGAGTCGAATCCCTTCAAAATTGAGCAAACCTGGGAGCACGTGCCCCTGCTGGAGGGGAAAAAGGGAACATTTAGCTGGGTCTAACACTTCAGCATAGCTATACAAAACTTTTAAAGGTTTAGTGTGGTTTTATTTCAGGGATTTTTGAGCAATGTAGCATTACATCATTTTATAATGGACCGTTTCTATTAACAAAGTTTTTCTGTGTCTTTTTTTTTTTTTTTTTATTTTGTGCTTTTCTTATTTTTCCATAGCGTGTTGTCTTCCTGAAACAGCTTCAGACTGGTCTGCTCTTGGTCACAGGTAATCTGAGTTGTTTTTTTTTTTTTAGGACTCCTCTGTGTAACCTCTATATTGCAAGTGTTCTTTGCTCTTCAAGTGTGCCTGTGGTTGGCTTAACTGCTGCCCTTCTCAGGTGCCCAGTCCTTTTGCTGATTTGCCACTCCAGTTGGCTGCTGAAAATGAAGATAAAAAGCTTTGTGTAGCCTTGAGGTCTAGACAGAGCTATGGATTTACTGTGTCACCATGTGACAAGATTATAGGTGCCTGAGTAGCCAGTTTTAATGCATCAGTGTTTGTTTTTTACTAGATTAGGGAGTGTTTTTCCATATGTAAAAGTACCAGTGATTTCTCTTTGATCCTGGAAGACGTGTGTAGCCGGAGATGGATGCAGTTATTGACTTTTTTTAAGCTGAAAACAGGTTAATTTTAGAGGTTCTTGAAAATGTGTGTACTTGTGAGCTATAAGAACATAAGGTTGTCTTGCCATGGAAATCCAGGATGTTTGGATTACAGCCTCCAAACAGGCCTGGTGTCAGGATTCAAGTAGTCGGTGTTTTAAAAATAGTTACATTTCAATCCAGAGACCTAATGCAGGTAAAAATCCTAGTCTGTTGTGGAAAATCAGTGCTGTGTTAATTCATTATTTTTGTATTTTTAGGTCCTCTTGTCATCAACAGAGTTCCCCTGAGGAGAGCACATCAGAGATTTGTCATTGCCACCTCTACTAAAATTGATATTTCCAGTATGAAAGTTCCAAAACACTTAACTGATGCTTACTTCAAGAAGAAGAAGCTGCGCAAGCCCAAGCACCAGGAGGGAGAGATTTTTGACACTGAGAAGGAAGTAAGTAACTTGGATTCCAAACGCAATGAGGCTTACTTGTGCAGTGTAAAGTAATGCTAGCAATTCATGAGTAGCTACACCTCAAGTGGGTTGCAAAGCCTGAAGGTTTTTTGCATTGTATGCATAAAGGTAAAAACAGTCAGTATGCAGGCTCTCCCCCCCCCCCCCCCCCAATACTTACCTGAGCTCGATTCAGCGATGTGCATGAGAGCAACTGCTATCCTGGCTCTCTGCCTCCTCATTGGATCAGACAGCAGTGGGAGCCATTCGCATCTGCTGTGGTCAGTCACAGCCATTGAGGAGGGGGTGGGGCCAAGCCCTATTCTGCCTGTCTCATGGACATGCAGAGCTTGGGAGGAAGCACACACGTGTGCCCCCATAGCATGTAGCTTGCTATGAAGACACTTGGCAGGGGGGAGGAGCCCAGTATGCCAGTATGGGACCCAAGAACAGGAGGATTGGAGCTGCTCTGCAAAAACCATTGCACAGAGCTGGTAAGTGTAATCTTTAATATCACTTTAAATGTATGTAGTTTTGATTAAATGAATATTAATTGAACTACAGCAAAGTAGATATTTGGTTGTATTGCTTTGCTTGGTGAATGGTACCATTACAAATTCTTACATTTTGAATTAATAAACATTAGTGTAAATGTTAATAGCTAATAAATGCTACTGTTGTAGAGTACACACCACAGGAATCCTTTTGTTCCATCTGTATAGCAGTGGACCACTACTCTAAGGGCTCATTCATACCTTGGTGTCCTGGTATCGTTAATGCAGGTGTGTTAAAGCGGATTTTACGTGTGCTAAGGCAGCCCTTTTAAGTGAACTGGCTGTCAGCGCAACAAAACCTCCAAAAATGTATTGGCACTATTTTTGGCAATGCAGCACACGTTATCGTGCATTTGCAGCTGCTTTACTTTAGTGTGTCATTCAAAATGAATGGCAGTGCTCTAATGCATAGAACCTGCTTGTTTTAAGCTCAAAGTAATTTATTGCTTAGCATGACTGTGCCAGTAAAAAACACTCATATGCTACTGTACTTGAACATTGTTTTCACTTGTAATAATGAAAAATGTGTGGTGTAAACTATTTTACAGAAATATGCAGTGACACAGCAGCGCAAAGCAGATCAAAAGTTTGTGGACTCACAGCTCCTGCCTCTTGTCAAGAAAGAGCCCCAACTTCGTGGATACCTGCGCTCCCAATTTTCTCTGTCAAATGGAATGTACCCACATAAGCTGGTCTTCTAAGAAGTTTCAAAGCTTATTAAAAGATAATGTAATTCCATTACTGTGTTTGTGTTTTTATAAACCTTTTTAACAGCTGCACTGTACTTTTGGTATAGTTTTGACGTTTTTGCAGCATCCCTTCACCAACTCCCCTACCCCCCCCCCCCCCCCCCCCCCCCCCCCCCCCCCCCCCCCCCCCCCCCCCCCCCCCCCCCCCCCCCCCCCCCCCTTAACTTTTTGCTACACTGTAACAAGTTGATGTGAACATTTGACAGCAAAATAAAGACCCAAATTTGTGTAGGCACCACCCTGAACAGATTTCTACTGCAGCACTTGTAGTTGCTGTGCAGCATACCTCTTAGCATGTTCCTACAGAGTGCAGCTGTTTGTTGCTGGCTGATCATTGAAGCAATTTGTTTCCTTCCACACAGCTTAACAATTTCAGGGTGAGCCTTTTCCAATAGAAAGGCTTAGGCAGCCCATACATTATGCGTGTTTCTCCCCCCTCCCCAACACAGCAGGTTGCACACAAAAAAATCCAATACCTCCCCATCCACACACTCAAGGTGGCTGACAGTGGAAAGCCTTCACAGCCATCAGAATACAATGATCAGCGTTGCTGGCTATAGCTGGTGGCACTGATCATTCAGGAAAAAATAACAGGCTTGTACATATTTTGATCTACAGAATGACTTGTGTACAACCAGCCTGCCCATACACCGATTTGAAACCGGTCAAATTTCGATTCATGGTTTTAGGGCAGACTGAGCGTCTTCTTATTAGGACACAATGTTTAAATATAAAGTGAGGTCTGCCAGCATACTACAAACACAGGGATAGTTATGACAACTCCCCTCCCATCCCATAAACACGATGAATAAATTAGGATTTTTCAGTACTGTAGTTGTCAGAAGAGGGCATCTAAAAAAGGGCAGCAGCCTTTTTTTACATATGTTTTGCGAAGTACATATAAAGTAGTGTTTAAAGTTAGGACACAATGTTTAAAAAAGCGGTTTTCATTTTTGAAAATGTTTAAACTTTAAAAACGTGAAAATTAACTTTAATGTTCATTTTCCACGTTTGTGGCCAAATTGAGATGAAGTTGAACACCAGGCAAATATGACATTAAAACATGCCAAGTCTTGTGCTGTCAAGTTTTACTGCCACATACAGTAGGATTGAATACTGGCAAACAAATTGTTGAACTACAGCATGGATAAGTTGCAGGTGAGGTGAGCTGTGGTGAATAGAATATTGTGTGGTAAACTGCATATTGGATGTGGTTTAGAAGGAACCAGTTCAATAGAGTTTGGACTTACAGTACACACTGTGGGGTTTATTTACTAAAGTTGGTTCACTCAGAATCTCATGGTACTTCTGCATAGAAACCAATTAGCTCATAGGTTTTATTGCTAAAGCTTAATTAAACAAGCTGAGGTTAGAAGCTGATTGACTGCACAGCTGCACCAGATTCTGAGTGAACCAGCTTTAGTAAATAAACCCTGTGCATTTGACACTGTCGTTCTACCCACAACTTACAATCTAATTACATTGTCACAAGATGTTTATAAGAAATATATAAATTCTACTTCAGATCAAAGGAGTACTCAAATCTGAAGGAGTGCATGCTCACAGCCTTTCTTGAGCACCAGGGCTTTCACGGCTGTCAGAACTGTAATTGATGGCCTACGGAGCTTTCCGATAAAGCCAAGCCATTGTGTGGTAGCCTGTGCCCTTTCAGCAGCATTATGGAGTTCAGCCTCTAGAGCAAAAATTGTCATTAAAACTGAGTTTTTATCACCCCCACTCATCGGTTATAATTACTTTTGTGTATGTATGAGGCCCACTGAAGCAGCCTCTGGTGTTCGAGGGGGCCCAGCCCATCTTTGTTGGATGGTCTCCTGCCTCATTGCTCATATACGTTTCCTACCAGAACATGATGAAGACTCTGGCTAAAGTGTTTGGTTGCATGCAAGAAATGCTTGCTTGCAAAGCCCAACGAGGTACCTTGAAAGTCCTGCGAGGACTTTCAAGGTACAACACCTCGTTGGGCTTCCCTTGATGCTACCGCAGACGAGAACCTTAATCTTCCTCAGTGGAAAAAAAAAAAAGCCTAATGCAGGCCATAGATGGGTTGAAAATCGGCCGAAATCGGCCGATTTCGGATCGTTAGTGGACTAATTGTTCGGCCGTTTTTTTTCGGTATTTTGGCAGATTTTTTTTTATCGGTAAAGTTGGAAAAAAATCGGCCGATTTTGCCGATCAGCCGATTTTTACGGCAATGATGGGCAAATCGGCCGATCTTTTTACCGATAAAAAAAATCTGCGCATGAGCAGTGACCTGCAAGAGGAAGACAAAAAGAAGAGGAGGATGAAGAAGAGGAGGAGGATGAAGAGGATGAGGAATTCCAGTCCGGCAAAAAATGTCCTTGCAGAGAGCTCTGCTATTTCTTCGACAGTTCCTTGACATTTATAGCGGTTGCAACAATGTATCTATTTTGTTTCTGAATAAAAACATCTGTATCCTAAATGGATACAAATACATTGTTGCAACCGCTATAGATGTCAAAGAAATAGCAGAGCTCTCTGCAGGGACACTTTTTGCCAGCTGTAGACGGGATGAAAATCGGCCGATTTTTTTTTTTTTTTTTTTTTTATTTTTATTTTTTTTTTTTTTTTTTTTTTTTTAAAAAAACCGTTGCTGGTAACGTCGGCCGCTTGAACAACTGATTTTTTGTTTTTTTTAAAAGAAAAATGGCCAATTTTTGACCCATCTATTGCCTGCATTAGGTTCAGTCTGGGAAAATTCATCCACGGATGGAAATTTTTTTTTCTATCTCTTCCTTCTAAATACAAATGTGATACTGGGCGAAAAAGTTGGACTGATAAGCCCTCAGATATCTTCAGCAGGAGGGTACACCCCTGCTTTCCGTAGTGGGGATGTCTGTTAGCCCTTTGCGGTAGTTTGGACAGCCTTCAGATGTTTGGGTGTAGGGGGTAGTTTCAAGGTGGTACAAGTTAGTTTCATTCTCAGCCCCCTCCCTCGTTCATTACTTTTAACCTGCCCAGATTGGTATATTAATGTGGGCATCAATGTACCAGTCAGTCCTTGTGGCAGAACAGTTTAAGGGTTTCTACTCTAACCTGTTCACAGTACCCAGAATTAAAATGGGGCATCTTTTCTTTTTTAGCATCTCTTTAACAAGGATACTTTCTGGCCTCTAGATATCAAAGCCACATACCTGCATGTTTCCATTTATCCAGTACATAAGTGGTTAATTTGCATTTGTTTGGATCCTCTGCACCTCTTTGTGGTTCCTACCATATGGCCTGGCCACTGTATCTCAGTTAATTCATCAAGATGTTGGTCCCTCTTACTGTGCTCTTGGAGTATTATCATTGTTTATGGTATACGGTATCTAGATGACTACCTCCTAAAGGAAAAGTGATCACAGGTTTTGGTGTTTAAAAGTGCACTCACCATCCAGACCTTCGCAAAGAATTTGCTTGGTACTGAACCTTCAGAGAATAAGCACAGGAACCGACTCTTAACTTGGCATATCTGGGTCTAATTCATGACCTATCAAGCCTCAGGTTTTTCCCAAGGAGAAACTTAAAAGTCTGTGCTCCCAGGCTTGGACTCTTCAGCTTCTGTATGAAAGTCTGGGGGCTTCAAGGTAGTACTGTTTTCCACTCTAGACCCTGACCATAATAGATTGTGGTTGTGAGACAAGTTACCATACTCATTGAACAAATTTGTCTGGCAGCAAAGGCCACTGGCTTTGGGGTGGGAAAGGCCTGTCTTCTGGTCTTCAAGAATTTCGAGATTGCAGATGCCATTATCGGGCTGTGCAGAAGTTCTGGGACAGGATTATACAGCGCAGGATAAAGTAGCAAGAGCATGCAATGCAGTGAGCGAAACAGTCAGGGCACATAAGACACAGTAAGCAACACCCATAGGGAAAAGTCAATAGTGCATAATAGAGAGTGCAGGGGTCAGAAGTATATGATACACAGAGTACAGGAATTTGTTATGCACAAAGAACAGATGCATTGAGTATGCAACATACAGAGCAAAAGAGTGTAGGGGTCAGGAGTGTGTAACAGTGTAGAAGTCAGGTGTTCATAATGCACAAACTGTAGATGTCAAACAAATTTACACCGAAGCAAAAATTATTCCCAATACGATTCCCCAGCACCACCAATTCCTTCTTCCATGAAATATATTCACCTTGGTGCTACTTTGCATCTTTTGGTGAGGGTCCTACAGCAGGTCAAGGCTATGACCACTTGCATTTTTTTTTTTAGTTTAGGTGCTTTTCAGCTGCCAGCTAAGCACAGAGCTAAAGTAAGTCCTCCAAAACTAGGCTGCATGCTACAGGGCTGGCAGGTGGGGACAGATGCTGGCAGAGCATGTTAGTTGAAGACAATGCAGGTGGTCATGGCATCCAGACCCAGGACACATGCCAATCCCTAGCGACAGCCATAAACATGTCCATGCATAAAAAAGACCCAACATACCAGGGAGTTAGCATAGCTATGGGAAGGCACTATATGGTCCCTAGTCTTCAGCACTGTTGTATCTTTAGAAATGTTTTACTTCAATCCAGGTTCAGGATAATGTACATTAAGGCATATGAAGGTAAGCTTGGCTTGAAACAATTATGACAGCAAGAATGCCGAAGTGCAAGTACTTGACTTAAAGTGACACTAAATGATATCCCTATTCTCCAAAAGTAATCCACACGTATCCATTACCTTCACTGCACTATGTACTCCCAGTTTCATTCTGGGAATGAGCAAGGCAGGCGGCTACATTCCTATACACAGTGGGACCATGAAGAACAAACAGGAAGTTGGCTCATAACAGTAAAAGAAAGTTGGAGAAGGCTGAAAGCAATAGAAGGTAGTTTTTTTTAGTTAAAGCGGAGCTCACCCAAAAGTGGAAGTTCTGCTTTAAGGACTGTAGAGATGAGCGAATCGAACATGATGAAGTGGAATTCGTTTCGAAGATTAGGAAA